GAAGATTTATAGGAGGCTTTGCCGGGGATGGGATCATCGAGAGAGGAGGATGGCTTATTGCCGTTTTGCCATGGGGAAAGTTTTCAAGGTTTAAGCACACCCGCGCCTCTTCTTCCTTCTTCCCCTTCCTTTCCTTATTCTTCGAGGACGGTGAACGTTCTCGAGGGGATGGAGAGGAGTGCAGGACAACAGCGGGTATATTAAACTTTTTATAAAGAGGAGGAGGAGGGGGGTATAAGAGGATTCCGTCATATTAAAATGCTCGTCGTCTCGGATAGGAGGATACATAGAATGGGCCTCTCTTTCACTCAGAGATACTCGTTGTCCATTTCTTATTGTCACGATGGAAAGAAATTGATGCGAATTTCGGTAAAATGTTGTCGATCGGTCGACGAAGAGAGTTGATCGAATCGAGAGCAGGATCGACTAATTTAAAAGAATTTATCAAAGAAAAGGCATCGGCCAAAATGGTGGGATAAGGAGATTAGGGGCCGACTTTCTCCGCGTACCAATCTCGATCTCCGGAAACATAGGTTCCGAAAAGAAAATTTACGAGGGCTGTCCCCGCGCGCGAGCTTTATCGTCGCACCGAGCGGTGAAACACGAGTCGCGGAAGCCGTGTTCACGATTAGATCTATCTCGCCATTGAATTTCACTCCCTCCCTCCCTCCCCTTTCATCCGCCTTTCGATCACGACCCACATAAATTTCCACTATCGGATGCCCAGCGGCGTACCCGACCTCGCCTAACTCGCTGTCCACAAATTTCCTTCTCCTCTCTTCATATTTAAATTACGTCCTCGTAGAGAGGACTGTTAGCGAGCAACACTCTGTGCAACTAGCGACAGGAAAATATCCAAGAAGAAATCCACCAATCTCTCGAGCCAAAGAGTAACCTTCGTGCGAATGAAACAGACCTCCCCCCTTTCTTCTTCTCTTTTTCTTCTTCTCTCTTCTTCTCCAGTACATATATATGTCTGTCTGTGTGTGTGTGCGCGCATAGATCCGCGCGTTAGATCGCGATCGATATCTTGGGCAGACATCTCGCGTGTACCGTGAGCTCGTTTCCTGGTGCGACCGTTGGTGGTCGATTGCTCGATAACGATCGCGCCGCTTTGTCCCTGCGGGGAGCGCGAGTTCGGTATCAGCGTGGAAGATAATCCGAACATCGAGGCGTAAGTCGCTTTTAATCGGCCTCTCTCTCTCTCTCTTCCACGGATAAGGCGGGAGAGGGATGTGGTGGCACGTAGAGAGAGAGAGGGAGGAGGCCTCTAACCCCGCAACGGGGTGGGGGAGAAACGGGAGGGGTTGAGGAGCGAGACGAGTCGTTTACGGCCGCTTTACATGCAAACTGGGAGGAGGAACGAGAGGAACGGCCTCGCCTTGGTTCGTCTTTAAGGCGTTAAGTAATTGCCGCGAGTGATCCCGGATATGGATGGGTTATCGTTTATCGGAACGATCGTCGGTGTTCACTCTCCCCCTCCACTGGATCATGCTGCTTTTTGAACGTTGGATTCTCTAGTCTCTAGAATGAGGATTAGAGATAAAAAAAATATACTTAAAAATGTTAGTTTCCTGTACAAAAAAGGGTGTACGTATCGCGTGAAATATGTTAACATTTAAGGGGGTTTTAAGAGGGATATTTTATCCGGAGCATACGGTGTCACGTGAAACGAGACGGTGTGAAAGATCGTCACCGAAATGACACGAGGTACGAGCGTCGTTTAAACTTTGAATAAGGTTGGCGTGACACGAAAGGGAAGATGAACGAACGTTGAAACGCGCTCTTTCTCGGGGAAAGAAGTCGCCAAAGAACGGCGCCGAAAGCGACACCCGGCGTCAAAGAGGAAATGAAAAAGAAAAAGAAAAAAAAGAGAGAACAGGGGGATGGGGGATGGAACACGCGTAGAATCCGTGGAAAACGGAGTCAGTGTGCGCACGGTCAAGCTGAAAAACGGCCCCCCCCTCACTCTGGCTGGTTAATTCGAAAGAGGTCTCGGGCGTGTCATCAGCCATCCGGTTGGGACCCTCGCGGGGCTCCTCTTAATCGCGGCGTTTTGTCACTTTTGCACGGAGAAAAAGGGTCGGCGGAGAAAGAGAGAGAGAGAGAGAGACAGAGAGAGATCCAAGGAGGCGGAATAACAGCCTCCAACAGTTTTATCGTGGTCGTTTTTATCATTTATTTCTTCATTTGTTGCACGTTAATTCTTCTTCCCTCCTCGAGGTTCTTCTTCGCCTCGAATATCCTCGAATATTTGTTCGGGATAGGGTTAAAGGGAAAATTCGCGAGCGGAAAAGGGATGAGTTTGTTTTTCAGGTGGAATCGTCGTTCGACGAGCGGGAATACAAGCGGAGGGGAGAAAAGATTGTGTTGGAGAAAGCGGTTGCTAGCTCAAAGGAGGAGATGGGCGCGCGCTAAAGGCAAAACCCGTGTTTTATGTTTCTGCAATCTTGCGTTTTCCGCGAAACAACCTTAAAAGGAACGGCCGCGTATCACGATTGAACGTTGCGCGTAAACGACCACGCATCGACGAAACAGGATTTGTTTCCCCGGCAAATGTTTGTGCAGACGTTTTTCGAAGGTATCGCGGCAGAAGAATAAAGCTTTCGAGCTCGGTACAAAAGCGCGCGCTTATTCCTTTGAATATCTCCTTCTGTTTCTTTGTACACACAGGGTGGGTCAACAAGGAATGGTGGAGAGGGGAAAAAAAAAAAAGAAAATCTCGTTATTCGATAAAAGGAAGGATTCTGCTTCGAAGAGGAAGAGGGGAGGAGTAAGTCGAGTAACTTGGCATCTCTCCACCTGATAAATAAAAATAAAACTTGGTATTTCGAGACTCGGCATTTCCACGTCCCCCCTCTCTCTCCTACTTTGCATGGCGCCGTGATTCTTAGCTCGTATTGTCATTTTCGAAGTGTGCTATAATATCCGTTTGATTCCGAACTAGGCACCCGAGCTATTACTACTACTACTGCTACTACTACGTGTTTATTACGCGGGGACACGGCAAATTCTCACGCATGTATTTTCAAATCGCGTGCCCGAGGCGGAAACATTGACGCAGGTCAGTTGGACGTGATGCGAATCAGGTGTCGCCTCGGTTGCCAAGAATTTCTTCGCGAGCTACAACTCGTCTTCGCGATTTTGTTCCGCGGCCAAGCTTTCTCGATATTGAATGAACTGCCGCCAAAGTGACTGGAATCCGATTATGCGAATACGCCACCATCAACGTAGTTTTACTCGCGCGTGAAATCCCGAGGCGAGATTCTCGATAATTTTAATAATTAAGTAATTATTGCTTGATTTTTGCTCCATCTCGCGAACGAAACGATTAGCCATGAGAAATAAACCGTCAAGGATCGTATTAAAGTAAAGCTATAGAGATAGGGGAATTTATTTTTGTGTCCCTAGCGTGTGAGACACCTACGATTTGAGAATCTCTGCTTTAAAGCATAGTCGGTCAGGCACTTTGCTCTTGGCTGGCAAACGGAAAGCAGATAAATGCAGTCCAAGTGTTGAGGCAAATACAGTAGATAAAAGAATCGTCTTAAGATTGACAATATGCGATACGTGTCTCCTCAATAACGTCTCTACTCTTGCTCTTATTACTTACTCGAACCGTACGGAGAAACAAAAGCTTGAGTTCGAGTTAGAGCTTACCTCGTTGCGAGTTTTAAGGTGAGCCATTAAGACCTCTGGCCGGCATTTGCATTTGTGACGACGCGCGTATTCTCGGCGAGAAAGAGAGGCCAGGCGCACCGTTAACGTGGCCGCGTCATAAATTCCATGGAATAAAGAAGGGCGATGGAAGTCTCCTCCTGTCCCCCTGTAAATACCGCGGGCCCATTAAAACTTTTCGCGTACTTAGGTCGGAATTTATTTCGACCTAGCCACGTGCACCCGGCCACGGCAACCGTTTTACGGCGCCAGCTCCTCCCTGATCCGCGTTATATATTTCTTCTGAAATTGTGAACTTTTCAACGCACCACCTTTGCTCTTCTATGCAGGAGATCCTTAAATCGAGTAACGATTTTACGCTTACAAAATTTCTTTGAACTCGAGATGTACGTTTCCTGTCAGAAGTTTTATTCCAGGCAATATTTCACGTAATAATGCTGTGCGTAATCGTATAGATCTTCTCTTTCTATCGCGAATTTCTGTCGCAGTGAACGTTGAAAAAGAAATAAAGGAAATCCTTTTAGGACGTTTTCGAGTCCGTGGATGTAGATCCCGAATCTCCGGGGTTTACACGACTTTCGCCACGGAATTCTCTCGTATTCTCTTTATCGTTGCATCGCTTTCTCCAATTTTTTTGTCTTCGCTCAGTGGAGAATAATTCCGTGTTCCTAATTCTTATCTATTTTAATCGTAAAAAACACGCGGACGGTTTCCGTCTATTCCGAAATTTCACCGTTTCAGAGAAATTCTCGTGTTTGGGAAGAGAAGAAGAGGCCGACGAATTCTTGGTTTTCACTTGGTAGGATAAATTAGCAAGCGCCGTTGCTGCCCGGTTGCCGGACGTGTTAAACGCGGCTCTCGAATTAGAATTCCTGTTTCGGTGCGGGCCAAAAAGGTGCTCGTGGGCGTTGAGGTAGCTCGTCTCGAGCTCTTTCGTGGAATTCTGACGTTTCTTCAACCTCTTTGCCAATACCTGCGAACAATCAGCCGGCCGGATAATCGGGCATTGTTTTACGCCGTTAAATCTCGCGAATTTCGTCTATGATCGCGAAAATAATTAGCTTCGAGATCGGTTTGACGCAATTGCAACACATTGTAGCGCGGAAAAACCAGTATCGCGGTGTTTCCAACTCGTATCTAACTCTAGTCGTGTATTTTTTTCGTTACGGTCAATAATCATGTGTCATGTGGATATATTTGTAAGCGAAATCAAACTTATCACGATTAGATAGAGCACGATTATCGCGACAGAGCTTGCGTGGATCTATTCACCGTTGATGGAGAGAAAGAGAGAGACAACTCGAAGCCTTGAAAATTGCAATGGATCCATTTGTAGAATAGAATTCTTTGTCACCTGCGATCCCCTCGAATCGCATTTACACGCCTCGAGTATCATCCCACGATTCGTTACGATGCAACCGCGAAAAGCAGCAATCGTCGTCATCCCGATTCTCGACCCGGTGTGCGCACGCTTCGAGAAAAATTACCAACAACCGGAAAAGAGAGGCATAATCCTATTGTTTGCCGGGTTTCACGGAGAGAAAGAAGTAACAATGGAGGCATTAGCGGCGAGTTTGTCCGCTCGATTGTTGCCAGAGTTAAAAATTGTGCGCGGCTTTATAAAGATGCAGACTCTGAAGCGTTAGCGCGGGAGTAGTGGTCGGTTGCCTCGTCGATTGACGGACAGACACGTGATTTATAAATAAAAAACTTGCGCGAATTGATATAGGAATAAATTAGAAATGCAATGAATCGATTAGAAAATGCTAAGAATATTTTTTGAAGACATTTCTAATAATTCCGATATGTGTTACACGAGTATTAATTATCGATATTTTTTTTCAAGATATTGTTATCGATTTTTATACTCCAATTATCCAATGATCATATTACTCGTACATTATTTATACGTGTTCGCTAATTATTAACTTCGTTAACGGGAAATTATCGATATTTTGTTTATTTAATTTTTATTATTAGCTCGATGTGTCGAATTCTTAGGTAACGATTGTTGCAACACAGGTTCAAACGTAAACAAATATCAATCATTTAAATAGATAAAATCTAAAAGAAGTATTATGAACGGAAATTTTCCTTCCTTGTTTATAATTTTCCTATTTTGTATAATATTCTTGTTAATTTAATAACTACGTTTAATTTTTCGAAAACACGAGTTTGTACAAATACCATTATAAAATTACCATATAAAATTGTTGGAAAACAGGGATCGTTTGAATATATAGACACACTTAGACTCTCATTTGCATTTCATTGTCCGTTAATTTTTCGAAATTTTAAGCTCTCTAACCGTAGATCTACGTCAACAGTAGTTCTTACGAACACTTTACTTGTTCGTTCATTATCACGTAGATGAGAGATCGAGAAAACAGTTTTCTTTTTAATCTATTGTTATGTAACAAGTGTTAGAAGGTGTATGGTAAAAATATTCTTTATTTGTTTGTACAATTTGACGTTATCGACTCGATTTCTAAAGAATGTTGGGACATTTTGAGAGCGGTATGCAAGCCTTGGTCTTTTCGTTTCTCACGGTACCGTACGTGCATCGACAATCTCTCGTAATTTCCGAGTTGCATGGCTGAAATTTATTTTAATTTTAGAATCCTGCGACGATTAGATAATTTAATTTTCCAGAAGGACTCACGATCGAAGGGCAAAGTTCGAAATCCGAGTTTGGGTTGTTGCAAGTTGCCTCGCACAATTTTCCACAAACGTTCATTTCTTCGTTCTTTTCGCACTTTATATCTTTTCCCGTCACCTTCGATTGTCCCTTAATATCTGTACATTGAGGAAAATCTTAACAAATTAACCTTGGAATTATAGAAAAAAAATCAACAAATTTTCTTATTTATTTTTTGTGGGATTATTCGATTTTTTGTCGTTACTAATAATTCATTGTGTATCGATTTGCAGAGAAATTAGGAATACTCACGAACAAGAATCGTAACGATAAATATGCACACGATGTATCGTGACATGGCGACGTGTTTTTCTTCGAAAGTAGTATTAGTTCAACTCTCGAACTTCTCGTTTCCTCTTCTAACGTCGAGTCTTTTAAACATTCTCGATTTTTATACCCAACTTTTCGTGTTGCATCGCGTGTATTTTCTGGTATCGTGAAGATAGCATGCACGATACACGATAAATATAAGGATTTGAAAATACTTGACTCATGTGATCGTTATTTATGTAATGTCTTACTTACTTGTTCTGTGTATTCAAATCAATGCAGAATTTATAGCGTTTCTCTTCTAGAGGATACCAGCAGATAGATTTAACATTTAAAGGGAAAAGGAAAAGAATGGAAAAGAGAGAGAAGAGAAGACAAGAAATTATCTTTTTCCTTTTTTTATTATTATTTCTTTTTTTATTTTACAAATATTGGAAAACAAATATTAAAAACACTCTTTGTTCAGCTATTATAGTCTCTTTATTTGACACTTATTTTCTACTTGGACAATGATAGTTATACAAGGATCTTCTATTTATCTTCTACTTTTCTGACATAGATATATAGATTAACATCGTTGAAGTTCATTATTCATTTGAAGAGCAAATCCCAGGTGGACATTCTGAAAGCGGTACACAATTATTATTTTCGTTTCTAACGGTGCCGTTAACGCATCGACAACCTCCTGTCGTAGACCATATGCAAACCTGAAATAAGTTTATTCGTGTCCCATTCGTTGTATTATGTATAATGAATTTTGTGATAAGATAATTAATCGAATACTTACAGGTCCTAAACCTAGCAAACACGATTCTATCTTTGGATTACAGCAAGTTGGTGGGCAGATACCTTCTCCGCATATGTTCGGTTTTTCATTCTGTCCGCATATTAGGAAAACCTTCGCATCGATATCTGTACATAGAAAGCATCAAATTTGAATTTAATTTTTGTAAAGCGTTGCAATAATTTCTTTCATCTGGCATAAATCTTTCGTGCATGTTTTTCTCGTCGAAAGTTGAAGTCCAATTTTTATTATTTTTATCTTGCAGTTGCAGGAAACGAGTAAAATTTTGTTTATCTTACAAAGAAATCTAATTTCTCGAGGGTAATTAATTTAATGCCTTTTTTTTTTTATCATTAACTCGAGCGAAGAATACTTACAAACGACTATAGCAACATAGAGAACATAGACGGAAATGTATCGAAACATAATTATTCTTTTTTTTTCTTTCCTGTTTCCTGAACAATGTTTCCACTTCTAATGTCAAAATTCTGATGTTTTCGAATTTTTTAAACCCGATATATGTACGTTATATATACGTTAAATTATCTATAGTCCTTGAAGATAATTGTTAAAAGCGATAATAAATAATAAATAATAATAAATAAAAATTCGATAAAAATTTAACCTTAACTCGCGTAATAATTTTGAAACGATCGACTAAATACGTTCAAATTAACTCAAAATTTCACCGATTCCACGTCGTATTTTTATCGTCGAGCAATTTCCTCGACAATCTTCTTCGTATTTTTACGAAGTGGAAACATCATTTTCTTATATCTTAAACATTCGAAAAATTGTATCGATAATTTCGTAATATCGATAACCATTAACTTACATTGTTTTTTACTTTATTTCTCTACCACAAAAAATTATCTCCAAATATCTCCGCTAATTTCAAGAAGGAATATTTTTACCAACGAAAATCGAACTCGTCATGCAAAACGTTATAACATTTAAAATGCGTTTCTTTGCATACATTCAATTCAATTCACAAGTTGTTACGCGAAACAACGATACGAATCGGGCTCCGATTTGGCGAGTCGGAATCGACACACAGAGTTATGTAGCGCACTTGCATCGAGCGCATAAAATAATCAGTCAACGACCGCTTCTCGAGCTCCTAGGCTAGGCTAGGCTAGGCTAGGCTAGGCTAGCGCGC